ATGCCTTGGTCGAACATGCAGGATCAAGAAAAACCCCATTGGGTTTGGTATGAGGCACATCCCTTATTGTGGCCCATGCCTTAGGAAGCTATGGAGGTTGTGGCTAGGTGGCTACGGGTAGAAGAGTCGTTGATGTAGACACAATTATGGCTAATAGCCAGTCATGAGTTAGGAAACTAAACTAAGAAGGTGGATGCCGTAGCAAGTACTATCGTGGTGAGGCACCACCAAAGTAGGTGCACCTCCTACGGTCCGTACCAAAATGGCACTTGCTGAGGTTTGGCCAAAAAGGTACATGCTGAGGCTTGTGCCAAAAAGGTACATACTGAGGCTTGTGCCAAACAAATAGTATAGTGGCACTCGTTGAGGCTTTGTGCCAAACAGATAGTATATGCCAAGGGATGTGTGTCTACCAAGTCTGGTGGTTCAAGATAGAATATCCTGCGATACATGTTGCTGTACTATTTGGCCACTTGGTATATTCTGGTACCAATGAAAAGCCTATAAAGAAGACCCATTTCCCAATGTCAAGAGAGAACTTGGGATTTTAGAGGATATGCTGCCTATTTGTGCACTATCACATTCTTTCTTAAAACCACTTGCTCCATCCTCACCTAGCTATTCATTCTTCAGTTACCCCCAAATTATTGGCGCATTATTATAGTTTTGTCTATCTAAGTATTATCATTATTTATTTGTTCATATCTGACTCCCTACACTATTATTTTTATATAATATATATATATATATATGTACATAACTTAAAACATCTTAATATATCCATTGCACCATCACTCACTCACCAAACTAACAAACCCTTTAACACATAAAGATGGGTCTCTTTTTCATTACTTTTTATCATATAACACACTTTAACAAATAATTTTAGCCATCTCATTGTGGATGCTTATGCATGAATGCTGCAAGCCTATGGGATTCTCTCCCTTTATTGCAATCATATTTTTTAAGGGTTAATTACAATTAATAATTCACTTTATCTCGTCATTTATAAATTTATACATATTGAATTCTTCAATTATAAAAATCATATAAATACACTCATTTTAAAAGTGGTCTATAGAGGAATGAAAATAATACATTTTTATAGTTGAAAGTATCAAAATAAACATATTCATAAATGACTAAAGTAAAGTAATATTCACTATTTGTTGTGGGGATCTTGATGTAAACGATTTATCTTTTAAGGGACATTTATTCATAAGCCCCTCTTCACTTGTTTATGTTTCACTTAGACCAATATTTTTTTTTCCATATTCTAATAAGTCTTATGGGTAATATAATTACCAAAATACCCCTAATGATAATAGGGTAAAGTGCGCATTAATATTTACATTGACAGTGTAAATGGTTGATGATATGAACATTCACACTGTCAAATTTATTTAATGTGAATGTTCACATGACCGAGTTGGTAAGGGTTCAAAAAATATTTGTAAGGATAAAATTACCCATAAAATATCTTAAATATGATAATTATGATTTCATGGATCAAATATTCAAAATAATAGGGCTTATTGAAACACAAGAACGTCTTATGAACTAATTGAGATACAAGTAGTTGAAAGAGAATTTTCTAATAAACTTCCTACCTTTTAACCGTCATTGAATTATATAAAATTCTTGAAATACAGAATCTAATGATTGTCAATATTTTGAGGTAAAAAATGAGAAGATATCTTTTGTTTGTTTGTTTGTTTTTTATTTTTTTATGACTAGGTATTTGTGTTAGTTTGCGTGCACCTCGACTAATTTCATGATCCATGCAAAATATCTCTCCCCGTGAATCGGACAAATCTCAAGTACAGTCCACGAATATGGTCCCAAAGAGTTGATAGCAAAATATTTTTTCTTTTTATTTTATTTTTTTTGGAAGGGGGAGGGGGGGTTGGTGTTTTTTTGAATGCGGGGTGGTTTGAATCGGATTAGCACATAATTAGTACGACAACATATAGAGATTGCATTCTTTCCGATTAATAATGCTGTCCAGTTCATTAATGAAATCCATATCCATGAGTCCCATCGTGATATTGTACATCTCTACAAAGAAAAACAATATATAAAGAAACTGAATATTACTCTTTCATTAGAGACAAATTATATGTTGTTATTAATTTTTTACATCACATTTTGTATTATCTCTTGTGTAACACATTATTCGGGATATAGTGTGGCTACTGTACAACAATCACCTTATTATAGGTCTTACTTTGATAATTTGAACCGTTCATCTTTTAGAGTTAAATAGAATATTTTTATAAAAAATCAATTTGATTAGATATCGATAATCCTGTGGTCAATTCAATTTTATATTCAGTTTTATATTCAAAATTTGATGGGATTATAGCGATATGGTATCCGATAACAATGATTTTTTTTTTTCAGGAATATTCAATTCAATGCACCCTAAAAAGTAAATGATATGAACCATCAAAGTAGACTCCTGAGTGGGCCCTATTATATGCACAACATCCCGTTATTGATGATGGACTTAGAGGGGGGTAGGAGAAGTTGGTCGCCTCTGCACAATTTCAAAAACTTATTTACATATTAGTCGTTAATTATTGTCAAATTTTACATATATAAGTTTAAAAATAAGATTAAGTACGGGGAAAGAATCAATAAATCCCGTATCCCCATCTTATACACCAATCAATCATTTCTAAAATCTAATGGAGCTAACAGTCTCATCTAATGGGAAATGACTTTATTAACCACGTTTTGTATGCTTCATCAGCAGTTGGTGGGGATAAATTACGAAAGCCCATATATATATATATATATATATTTAAGAGCATGGAAAACATTATATTAATGAAACAACAATAATACATAAATAAGATCCCAAAGGACTATCCCAACCAAACAACAAAATAAAAATAAAAACCAACAAAATAAAAATTTGTCAAAAAAATAATTACGATTGAGCAAAAACCATTGATCTGCTCAAAGATGTGCTCTGAAAAGAAAGATCTACTTGAAAACTCGCCATTCCCATCAATGTCGTCGCCGTCACTGCCGTCCAACTTCGCCGTCACTGCCATCGCCGGAAAAGGGAGTACACCCATAATAGTATGGAAGAAGACTTTAGAGATGAGGGAACCATTATGGGTGCCGAAAAACTAAAAATCTACGCTGAAATCGAAGGAGAAAACTCTCAAAACTCCTATTTCAGACATAAAAAGTCAAGATCTGCACTTTAGATATGTAAAATGGATCGCTGGAATGTCACCGGAGCATCGCCGGAAATCACCTAAAGAGAAAGGCCCTACTCCCTCTCTGTGGATCAGAAGCCCATATTGTTAAATGACACAATTTTTTTTTTTTTTTTGGTGAATAAGTCATAAATTAAAAAGACAAATACTTACAAACTACAAGAGGCATACCTCAAGAGCTAACCAACTCTACAAGATACTAACAACAACAAACCAAAGCAATAACAAAACAAAAACCAATTCAAACACCACATAAGAAACAAGAGAAAATGAGGGGCAGGAACAAGGCCAACACAAAACTACACCATAGGAAAGGCCTAGAGATTGTTAGACCACTAATCAGATCCTAAACAACTCAAAAAAAAACCTACTAACATAATAAAGCCATGTACAAAGCCAAAACAAGACCTGGGATTACAAGATAACTGAGAGGGTAATTTGCAAACAAATTGGGCCGAGCTAGGTGAGGATGTCTTCTTAGGACGGGGTCGCGTGTTGGGCCGAGCTGGGAATAGCTCGATTACAGATTTTTGGGACTAGCTATCTGTGTGTGGCTAGCGGCACAAATCAGATTGGTGCTATGGCCGAGCTAGGGGTAGCCTGGCTGGATAAACACATAAACTGTTGGGGTTGCATAGCTCGATAAAGGGAGTAGAAGCACAAGGTAGCTCGGTTTAAGTACAGTTAGCCTAGCAGAGTCTCACTTGGCTTGTAATGAGAAAGGTGTTTCAAGGATAAGCATTATTCTACGTGTGTTATTCCTAGGAGGACTTTGCTAATGAGAGTTAGAGTCCTACTAGGATTGTGCTAGACGGAATCTATAAAATCTCATGATAACACCTATGCATAGGTATTGAAATTGTTACTCTCAAATACATAGAGCTTTTGTGTCTATTGTCTATTCGCTGACTTAAGCATCAAAGAGGTTTCTGACGCACCCCCACCGACTAGCTTACGTTTGTGTTTTCAGGTAGTAAAGCAATGCCGTTTGGAGAATAGCAAACTTGATTAACAGGATTATACGAGAAGGTTATTCTGTCCTCGTACAATTGGCACCGTCTATGGGAAATTTTACAGAGAACAAACCTTTTGATCAAGTTTTCCTTCGATTAATTACAATGGCGCATAATGAAGAATTGCCACATTCTGCTATCGATGGGCAAACCTCAGAAGGGGGTGGGAGGCACGAAGGTTTATCTTTTGTTCCGCCCATTGTAGAATTAGATCCCCAACGACGAAACCCACGGAGAGACATAAGAGAAAGTCCAGGCTCTAGTCCACGTCGCTCTCAAAGCCCTAATAGACAAAAGTCGAGGATGGATCCTCAGGTTCTGGAAGATCGCGTAAGGGTGCAAGACGAAGTGATAAGAAGAATGGTAGCTGACATGGAGATGATGAAGAGCCAAATAAAAGGCAAAAGGGTGGGAGAAGAAGAGATGGGCAAAGGCAGAACACACTCTCGCCACTCAAGAGATCGTGACAAGCAAGTCACACCATCACAGACTGAAAGTAGAAGGCTTAGGATATATGACACACAATCAAGGACTTTCAGTCCTTGTTAGGTCTTATACGGAGGGAAGCAGTTATAGGCCCTCGTATACGCACTAGACGACATCAAGGCTCACAGAGTTGCCTAGGTCGGCGAACTTACGGACAATGCTAGAAAAGAGGTCTCGAAAGAGAGAAGACGCTCAGGCACGCGACCCCTAAAGGGTCTCTGCTCTACATTGATTGGCTCCTCGGACACATGGAACTGTTGAGGTTAGAATGCCAGTGCCGCGCCTTGCCTATGAACCAGCAAACAAAGCGCTAGTTAGGTTACAAAGCTCGCTGTTTGTTCCAGCAATAGAGAACGCACTGCTACCCTTGTTCTTCCACCAGCCTAAATTCACCACTTATGAGGGGAAGTTAGATCCTTACATGCACTTAAGCCACTTCCGTCAGGTTATGGCCATATATCGACGGGACAAGGCTCTAATGTGTATCTTGTTTCCATCAAGCTTAGGCGATCTGGGCTTGACATGGTTTGAGAGGTTGCCAAAAGGCAGCATAGCTTCATGGGCGCAACTTGTAGTGGCATTTGTTACCAGGTTTAAGAAAAACACCGAGACGCTGGTGGAGATAAACCAGCCGCTCTCCATCGACATGGGTGAGAAAGAAACACAAAAGTCTTACAATAACTGGCATTGGGAGACTTTTAATCAAATTGGAGATTTCCCCACAAACCTAGCTATCACACAGTATAAACGGGGTCTACTAGCGGGTAATAAATTGAGGGATTCAATGACAATGATGCCACCCTTCAGAATGGAGGCCTTGATGGAGAGAGTGCATCAGCACATCAGGGTAGATGAAGATGGTGCTTGCGCCAAGGCAAAGTCCAGCATAATAGCGATGTCGGACAAAAAATCAGCGGCAAAAGTTAACACGATTGGCCAGGAAGAATGACCGAACAAAAATAGTCGGTGCAGACAACCAAATGGTGAAGATTCCCAGGAAAAGAGGTTGGGAGTTAGCACCGCCATCACCACGGTGTTCAATAAGCCTATCTACCAGATTCTTAGCGAGATACACGACGAACCCTTCGTTTGGCGGCCAGCCAAGTTAGGAGAAGCATAGAGGGGCTACGATGATAGGTACCGTTGCACCTTCCATGATGAAAAGGGGCACGGAACTAAAAATTGTATGTCATTGAGGCAACATCTGGAGGAGTTAATGGCCGCAGGCCACCTAGACCAGTATATTGAAGGGGGAGTACAACCAACCCACCAGGACCGCAATGAGCAAGATAGGATGCCAGCCGACGGTCCGCCCCAAGGCATAATCAATGTTATACATGGGATCATCAAGCCTGAATGAGTATGTGAACTCAAAGAGATGATTAAGAAGGCTGAGCATATGAGAGAGGTACCGAGTGCACAGTCTACCATGAAAAAAAGGAGAAAATGGAGGCAACAAACGTCATCACCTTCTTTGACAAGGACTTAGCAAGGTTACAATGCCCTCACAACGACGCACTAGTGATTACTCTGCGTGTCACGAATTTCGACATCAAATGGATCCTGATTGACCAAGGGAGCTCATGCGAGATAATGTACAGTGAGACCTTCAAGCAACTCAACTTGGAGGACAAAGATTTAGCACCAGCAACATCTCCCTTAGTCGGCTTCAACTCAATGCCAGAATGGCCGATTGGCAAGATAATTCTACTAGTTAAAGCTGGAGCAATGAAAAAACAAGTGGAATTATGGGTATTGAAAGTCCCTTCCACCTACAACATAATCTTGAGAAGAGCATGGTTACATGCCATGCGAGCAGTAGCATCAACCTACCAACAGGTGATACGATTCCCTAACGAAGTTGGAATAATTGAAGAGGTCTTAGAAGACCAAATCATGTCCAAACAGTGCTTCATAACAGTAAACAGTAGTGGAGCTGCAAAAGGGTTTGCATAAATAGTAGAGGAGCCAGAAAGCAATGAACTGTTCACAGATGTCGGCAAGGCAGCCAAACAAAAGGCAGTAGAAGATCTGATAAAGGTCAGAATAGACGAGAAGGTCCCAGAAAAGTTCTTTCTACTCGGCTTATCTTTGTCAAGCACCGAGAGAATAGAGATCATGGAATTCGTGATCTCTAATATTGAGGTGTTTTCCTGGACGCCGAACGACATGCCTAGCCTTGACCCTAACTTCATCTACCATCAACTTAATGTCCACCCAACCGCCAGACTAATTATACAATGAACATGCCAATCGACACTTCACTATGCCGAGATAGTGGCTAAGGAAGTGGGAAACCTGTTGGAAGCAGAGGCGATTAGAGAAGTCTACTATCCCAAGTGTATCACCAACATTGTAGTGGTGCCAAAGAAGAATGACAAGTGGTGTGTATGAGTGGACTACAAGACGGTCAACAAATCATGCCCAAAAGACAGTTTTCCCTTACCATGGATATACTAATTGGTGGACCTAACTACAGGTCACAACTGACTTAGCTTTCTCGATGCATATCGTGGATAGCATCAGATCGCTATGTATGAATCGGACCAAGAGGTTACATCATTTACAACTCCTAAGGGACTGTATTGTTATAAGGTCATGCCTTTTGGCGTAAAAAATGCAGGGGCAACGTTCCAGTGAATGATCACTAAAATGTTCGAGCCATTGTTGGGCAAAACAATGGAAGCACACAAAGACGACATGGTGGTCAAGAGCAAGAACGAAGGAAACCATCTCAAAGACCTAGCTGAGATGTTTCACATTTTAAAGGCCCACAATCTGTGACTGTATGCATCTAAATACGCATTTGGCGTAGGGTCAAGTAAATTTCTTGGCTTTCTAGTAACCAACTGAGGTATAGAAGTCGATCCTTCTCACATCAAAGCCATTCAAGATGTTGAGAGGCCCAACACAGTCAAGGAAGTACAACATCTCATCAAATGTCGACCATTCTTCCAGGCACAGAAGACCAAGTTTAAGTGGGATGACAAGTGCGACCGCACTCTGGAAAGCTTGAAAAAGTACATGACTGTACCTCGACTTTTTCGCGCCCCCTTTCAGAAGTTTAAAAGAAGCCCTATAGTTCGGACTCCCACAGTTCTGAATCTAATGTCACAAGTGCAATGTGAAATTAATAAACACCAAAGAGTCCAAATTCGGAAAATCTTTTGAAAAATCGATTTTGAATAAAAAATGCCAAAATTGGACTGCTTTTCCAGATACAGAGTCACCACCTAAATATTTTATTTTTGAAAAATTTAGGAAACCCATGACTCGTGCCAAAGGCCACATGCCTGTCATCACTAAAGTTGCCTCGGCTCGGGAACTTAGGTACGAGAGGGGAAGGTCATGAATTGACCACCCCCACTCACCCAATCGAAGATCGACCTCTACTAATCATGATTTGATTTTTATCAACCTTGTATGCTCTTCTTCCAGTTTATTTAGGCTAGCATTACAATGTGATACGCGCATACAAGTATAGACTAGTTTTCTCAAATTGGAACAACTCACTTTCATGTTTGTTTTGTGAAAAAGGTTTGATTTTGCCACTTAACACAGTGGGCTTAAAGCTGTGAGTTTTCTACTCAACAAAGTGGGCTTAAAGCTATGAATTTGCCACTACACATAGTGGGCTTAAACATACATTCATTGAATTGTTGCAATTCAAGTAACAAGCCTTCATCCACAGTCATTCAAGTAGTTTAACAAGTAAGCATTTAGCCTCATGGCAAGCATGCTAGACATGGCAATCACTCACACTCATAGTACTCCAGGCTAAAAAGATATGAGTTACAAAAATATGCATGATTCCTAACTATGCTAAATGTCTAATGCAACACATACAATATGCAATTAATAGGCTCGGCAACTAATATGGCATATGGGTCGATTTTGAAAACATGCGGTTAAACACGTATTCAATGAAGTAATTGAAATGATTATGCAGTTAGAATGATGTGCCGAGCCTTGATGCATGTAAGCCAATTAAAATGGATGTAAGTAAAAGGTATTCTAATTGAAACGTGATACTCCTAAACTAACCATCAAAAGCAGTTAAGTAAAAAGAAGAAAGACGTGGGGTTGAAAGACATACACATTATTACAACACGCTCTCACAAAGGAGAGTCCAAATGAATAAACTAGCTAACCAAGCTAAGCTAAGCTAATTAAGCTAATTATTGCAACACAAACAAAATTAGCTAACTACTTAACTAATTATTGCAACACTTGACTTAATCAACTAGCTATAACTAATTAATTAAAATAAGTGCAACACTTAAATAAAAATCGACTAGCTATCGCTAATTAATTACAACAAAATTTATTCACAATTATGACAATAATACTAATGAAACCATTAAACAATTAATCGCATTTGATAAGAGCATAATGGAAAATGGATGAAAGTTGCATGCGCAGCGCCTGAAAGCTACTCTGTCTGCCCAGACTGTCTCTGTTTCACCTTTAGCCACTACCTCTCTTTCTGCAAAATTGAGCTGCTGGCCACACACCAAGGGCCAGCGATACATCACTGACAGCCGGCCAAGTCTACAGATGACCGGTTGTGCATCAATTTGGCACAAAGCTCTATTTTTGTGTTCTGAGGTGAAATCAATGCAGATAGAGAATTCTCAAGCTCTATTTGTCCTTCATTCTTTCTCTGTCATGGGAAATTCTCGAGAGTAGGTTAAAATTGATTCCAAAGCCATCAATGAGCAATATGATTGCTTGATGATCTTGGATTCAATTTTGGACAAAAGTTAATAAAATGTAAAGAGTAGGACCACCCCTCCCTCTTGTCATAGTATAAACTCAAAAAGGAATGTTGTAACGCTTCAAGAATCATCAAAATGCCATGAATTAGCATGTGACGACTCTTGACACAAATAACTTGGCATAACATCCGGCCAAGTAGAAGCAATTTAAGCCACTTTCTTTATGTGTGTTGATCCAAGTTTTAAACAAATTTTTATTAGGCCTTGCCATTCTTTAGTCCATTTGTCCATGGTGATGTTAAACTCCTCTAAACAAGAAGTAATGTCAAACAAGAGGTTCTTTTTGTGTGTCGATCCAAGTTTTAAACCAATTTTTATTAGGCCTTGCCATTATTTAGTTCGTTTGTCCATGGTGATGTTAAACTCCTCTAAACAAGAAGTAATGTCAAACAAGAGGATCTTCTAAAGCATGAGAGAAAGACCACACCGTTGGCAATGAATCTTCGAAAAGATTAAGCCATTAAGTGGGAACCTTTCTTACATGTTTCGAACAACCTCAATCGGTTGACATCATTCTCAAGTATGAAAGAGATGAATGATGGATTGATTATTAAACTTAGACTCTCAAATATGGAAATGAGTAAAAAAAAGCTATATAACAAGCAACAAGTTACATATGCCAACTTTTGAGATCACAAATGTACTAAACAAAGCATGAACCAATTGAAAAGGCTTGGACAGCCTCAAAACAGCCCTTAATACATGGAAAACAGAGGTCAAACATGCATGAAAAGAGCTTGACAAGCTAGATAATAAAGAAGAGAATTAAGGCTAGTAAGCAAGAATAAGGAGGGGTGGCTAACCCCTCCACTTTTGAAGCTTTAAAACATGATTTTTAGGCTTTCAAAAACTCTAAAAATCAGTGTAAATATTAAAGGAAAAGAGTGGAAAAGGGAAGGTTTGAGTTATAAGTAAAGGAATAGAAAGAGCAAGCTCTCTCTACCCTTTTGGTAACTCTTCAAACCTAACCCCAAACACTTCAAATAAGCTCAAAACAATTCAAAACAGCAAGAACTATAAAGCAAGTGATAGAAATGAGAGTAAGTGAAAAGATAACAAGCCTATACCTTTTAAGGCGTAAGCTTATTGTTGATGATCCAAACTTGGCTTCAATTAACCCTCAAGCTTGAATTATGCTTCTCCAAGATCAACCAAGGCTTTAGAGTGGTAA